CTGTGACCATGTCCAAACTAGTGTGGATGTTTGGTTCCTCAGGGGACAACTATCAGTGGGACACTTTGTGCCATTGCTAGCTGTCCCTGGGGAAAGCCCATGGCACATGCCCAGCACAGCCCACAGCTGCTGTGCTGGCCCCAGCAGCCTTACCTGGGGTCCTGGAGACTGGGGAAGTTGCAGCTACATCTCTCCTGCAGTTTGGAGTCTGACCAGTAGCTGGACCAGGTTTTGGGCAGTGCCCGCTGCTTCCACATACATTGCCCTAGTTTTTTTCTTCACAGGTTTTTTTTTTTTTGAGCTCTGGAGATCCAGGAATCAAAAAACAAACCCTGCACTGCAAGGTAGCAGCATGGGAAATGCCTGAATATGTGGTGTGTGGCATCGCAGGCAGGTCTGTGGCAACACGTACTGCACAGCTACGCTCATCTGGACACAGCCTGTGGGAGCATCTCAACGAGCAAGCACATGCAGTTTGCAGTGCCTCAAAGCAGTCTGAGTCACTGCAAACTGCACACAATGCACATGCAACCATTCACTGCAGCAGGTTTTTTTGACTCCAAGAGATCCTAGTGTCAAAAAAAAAAAAAACTGAGCTGAAAAAAGTGGCATGGCACACATGGCAGCAGTATGCATCACCAAAAAGGGAGCCTGGCTGGCCAGAGTCATGCTCCAGCTGCCAGCCAGGCTCTGAGTGGCTGGTTCAGCACCAATGCTGCCTCCGGAGGCACCCAGGACTCTAGGTAAGGCTACAGGGGCCAGCACAGGTGCTGGCTCCAGCCTTTCCTACCCTACCTGGGGCCCCTTTGCTGCACACTAGAGTGCATGGGCAGAAGCATGCCCAGGGACAAATAGCAGTGGCACAAATATGTGATGATGCTATTTGTCTCATGGGAAAATAGCATGTGTGTCTCATTGGGATGCCCCTGCAAATGTGTGCTCAGTGGGATGCACCCTTTGTGGGAACAAAAGGAAATCATAGCTAGGTGTCACACATCTCCATGAATGCTGTAGGTACCAAGCTAGTCAATAAAAGGCAGATCATGAAAAAAAGAGTGGACCCTGTGCCATTTTTTGAAAGAAAAGACATGACCGTGCGTAGACAAAATGAGGGGTGTGTGCGCACAGCACTTCAAGGTGGGCAAAATGCTTTTGCACTGCTTTAATGGTGTTGGTGTTTGCATGCCTCAGTGGCATATTGGACATTAATTCCAGCTGCTGTAGGAAATTCGGCAGCGTAATGCACCTTAAATGAGTTGGGGCACAGCAAACTAAAACTCCTCCAAGTTGCTGCCCCTACAGCCGCAGAGCAAAGCCCCAGGCTCCAGGCATCTCCATGGCTCTGTAGGAAGCCCTGCAGGCAACCTGGCAGCAGCCTGGGAAAGTAGGCTCTGCCCAACAAAAGCTGCGAGCCTGATATATTTTTTTTCCTCCTCCTAAAGCCTGCCTGCCTGAGCTGCATGGGGGCCCGGTGCTTCCCTCCGCAGCTGCGGTGCCCCCCTGGCCCCCCTGACCTGGGTGCCACAGCTCCTCTTTCCCCCCCCAGCCCAGGACTGCTCCACTCACCAGCAGCTCTCCCTCCCTGCTGGAGAGGCAGGTAAGTCAGTGGGGTGTGTGTATGACACAGTGGTTTAATTGGCCCTAATTTGAAGCGGTGTTTTTTAAAACCCACCACTTCAATTTGGGCCTCCATTTTGTCTACACACACCCAATAGGTGCCTTCTGTCAGGACAGAGTTCTGGTCTGTGAATCCCAGATAGAGGAAGGTGTCCCAGGTAGTGACTAAGCCTCCAAGAGGAGCAAGAGCTAAGACACACACCCATTCTCCACATTTTCCTGTTGGCTCATGTAGGCAGCACCCTGCTCAGTATGCTGTTTTTGTAGATCAAAGGACACCCAACACAAACTGTTACACTACGTCTGGTACATCTGCATGTTTCTATGGCCCATGCAGATTTAATAGTTAAATCATAACAGTTGCTACACACTCCTTTAAAGCAGCTAAAATGCACATTTGTCCATAATTTAACCCCATTCCCACCTGCTATAGGAATCGGGCACCTAAAACTCAGGCGTTACAGTGCTCAGTACTGCAGCACTGAAGTTCCTTTTTGGACTTGTTCCTAAGTGCCTACAGTAGGGACTCAGCATCTGGCAGGCCTGAGCTTTTATTGCAAAATGTATGCATGGCACAATATCCTCAACTGATGTGAATCAGCATAGTTTAATTAACTTGGGAAGAGGTGTACCAGTTTAACTGTGTTCTGCCTCGTCATTTTAAATGTTTGAAACACTGATTTCAGAAGTTGTTGCAATCCATTATTTTTCTCCTCTATTATTCACACTTAGAAAAGCCCATAATCACAAATACAAGTTTTATTAGTTTTCAAATTGCTTTGGAGATCACATTTTGTAAAACATTTATAATCATGAGATATGTATTTATTCAAAGGGAGCAGCATTTTCTTTAAAAACCTACATAGTTCAGCTAAACATTACAGGTATTAGTAAACTCACGTAAGTTTAGAGATAATATGGTTGTGATGAATGTCATAGCTTATCAAAACTTTTTGGCACAGAAATGACTGACTCTAAAACAAATGAACATTCACAATCCCTCCTCCAGAAGAGATGCTGAACTGTTACACTGCTAATGCAGTTACTATAAAAGATGTGAACACCAGGTTTTAGTAGGAGAGCTGTGAGGTGTGGGGGAACTTAATAGATTTCATATACAAATATTTTTTTTCTGAAAGATTGTATTTACAGAAAACTAGAGGGAGTACAAATACTTTAACAAGACAACAAACATAGTACATTCAGTTTAACAGAAGCAGAACTAGAGATGCAAAACACAGAGGCCTAATTTACTTGCATGTCAATAAAGCACTAGAAAGGCCTCAACGTTTGAAAGCAGGAGATAATATGTCATCATGTTCATTTTGCAGCATCTTTTCGTTGATTTAAATACAATGTCGGTAGGGACCTTTAACTCAGTCTAATTGTATATTATAGTTCAACCCTCCAAACGACTCAGCACTCTGAGCCTGATCTTGCAAAATACTTAAGCATACATTTAACTGCTAGCCCCATCGACTTAAGTGCATTCTTAAAATTAATTTCATGATTAAGTGTTTTGCAGTATCAGGCAAATATTTCCAGCTTTATTGCCACAGTAACTTAGAAAAGAACTCTATAATGTCATTTTATTCTTAAAAACACATTTAGAATTGCTCTCATTTTTCATTTAAATGTTTATATGATAAAACACTGCTTTATTGAGCTCCACTGCAGATTGATTCTTCATGTCTTCTATAATACATAATCAAGGGAATATTATTCAAAATCAGTTACAACATGTTTCCAAAGACTCTTTAGATTTTAAAAAATTGAAGTGAAAAACTAATAGTGAAACAGCTGCTTTTCCTCCTTGATGGGTGCATCTACACATGCATTTTACTGTGGAGTAGACTAATTAGCTTTGCAGTAAAGTGTGACAATCTACATATGTGCCGGTATTAGGGTGCAGTAAATTAATTAACTCTGCCATACGATAGTACTGTTTGGGACGGCAGAGTACATCTTATAGCTGAGTACTTAATTGCACTCAAACAGACATGTAAATGGTAACAGGGGCTGGCTGGGGCACCAGGGTGCTAAAGTGCAGGGGCTACCTGCCACCTAGCCCCATACTGTAGCATCCTTATGCCCCAGCCAGCCCCTCCACTGCCTTACACTGCCACCTGGAGCCCAGAGCTGACTCCCTCAGGCCACCTGCCAGCCTGGGGCTGCTCTGCCCTGGCTCAAAGTGCTGCAGTCTCAGGCACACATGTAGATGCTGTGCCTGGGAGCAATTGACTTGGGTGCAAACTGCACTGGAGTTTATTGCTCCGCCTTAATTGCATGTGTAGATGCATCTGATGTGTAATACATGGGGGGTTGGCAGTAGATTGGCTACAATATCCGTAGTGAATTTTGGCGAACAAACCAAGATTTCTAAGTATGTAAATCGGAAATACAATATTGTTGCAGCCCATCTAATGTAGCTGATACACAAACAATTTTTCCCTATTACGTTGCCTTTAAAAAGAATTAATATACTGAATCTTGGTTTGTAAAAACAAATAGCTATTGAGCAATATATCTCAAATGTAGTGGCATCTGTCATTTCTACAGTTTAAAGACTTGATTTTTTTCTGAGTGCAAGGTTGATTGAGTAGGACTGGCTCGATAATGTAAACTACAATATTAATTAATTCTGATTATATCACTGCAATTATTGTAACGATGTATTATCACAAAAGTGCTAAATATTAATAAATCAGATATGTGGCCTTTGGTTATGCTTGATAAAATATTGGCATATTGAATATAGATATCATTTTAAAGGCTATGTTACAATCATAATGCCTAATAATAAATAACAACAATCTCATTTGCAAAGTGCCTACCCATAATGCCCATACTGGGCACTATAACAGCAAACCATCAGTTAAGATACTCAGTTAACATATTCTAAAACTAGTACCACAGATCCAGGGCTGCAGAGGTAAATGTACAGCACAATGGATGCTCTACCTGTCTCACCAAGCTCTAAGTTCCAGTGCTCCCATTATCTCTGACTTAAGAGGATGATGCTGGATGCCCAGTAAGATATCAGGACTTTGGGACCTGGAATATTAGAGACTTTGAGAGCTAAACCATGGACCTTAGATTTACTCCACTTACCAACAAGCAATCAGTACAGTGAGCAAAGCAATGGCTAGGTAGACTCCTCTCTGCCCATCCCAGACAGCTACTGTGGTGCTGTAGTCTACACTAGCTGCAGACAATGGAAGAGCCTTTTAGGAAAGCCTGCACATTTCACTGCATTGTAGTGATGCAGCTTTCACGTCTCAAAGGTATTGTCACCATTGTCAGATCAGTGTGCAAACGATCAGGTGATAGTCCTAGAGTGGCAGAGTCCTGTCTTCACATGAAGAGTAAGGATAGCCAAGTTGTTAGTTTGTTCTGTGTAAGCAGTAATCATTTTCGGTGTCAAGAGAGCTGTTGTAGCCCGATGAAGGATATAGATCCCTTTTAAGTATCCTGTTGACTATGTTGATCAGGACTTTCTTGTACTGTTGACGTAAAAGTGAGTAAACAAATGGATCTGATGCAGCCTTACTGTAGGTGAGGCACTTGCTTATAATTCCCCAGTAGTAGTTGATGGTAACAAAGGGAAGGAGCTCTATCAATCTGTTAAAGATTAAGAAATGGAAAAGATCAATGTTACATCCACACTAGCAAAGTGTTCCACTCACATTCTGAAGAACATTAACAGAAGAAATAATGATTATATTATGCAAAACCTGAGGAGCAGATCCTGTAGTCAGAACACAGATAAAATTCCCTTTGATTTCAGATTTCACTGTGACATTCCCAATTTCCTATGTTGAATGCTGGGGAAGATGTATTATAAACTATATATTTAAACAAAGAAGGGTCAAATTCTCCTGATATCTTGCACCCCAATAGTGTAGCAATTTAAAAAAAATATTCTAGATTCTACCTGATGAAATGTCCTGGAAAATTCAAATATATTTAAGATCTTGGTGTCAAGTCTGACTTGGTATTGCTTCTACACTCTCTTGGAAAGCTATAGACAGATGTGTAAAATGTCAATAATCATAGAATAATAGAAAATTAGGGCTGGAGGGGACCTCAGGAGGTCATCTAGTCTAGTCCCCTGATCAAAGCAGGACCATCCCCAACTATATAATTCCAGCTAAGCCTTTGTCTAGGCAGGTCTTAAAAATTTCCAAGGATGGAGATTTCACAACCTCTCTAGGTAACTTGTTCAAGTGCTTTATTACCCTTTTAGTGAGAAAATTTTGCCCAATATCTAGCCGAAACTTTCCTTGCTGCAAGACCATAGTGTATAATGATAGATTTATATTTAACCACATTTGCGAAATTCTTTATATGTTAAAAGAGTGTATGATAGACTGGTGTGATATAAAACACCTTGGGCTAATATGTAGCTTGTCTCATGGATATTTATTTTCATCTTCAGTCACGCAAACCACTTTTCTTCCAATTTGCAATCTCATCATATTCGTGTGGCAACTATTGCATTTGATTTCTTAGAAACATACATTTAAGAAAGTATGTATCTATTTTTAGTTGTGTGATAATGAGATTTAGCAGATGGAAAAAGGAGGAAATATCATCATCTCTGTATGACCAACCAGCTGTCTTTGGACCACCAACATGTGCTCAGCGGATGAGCAGTCATCACTGAACCATAGTTTGAGAATCTCAGCATGCGTTTGGAACAAGTGTATTAATCATGACTGGAAAAATTGCAGCTGAATTAAGCAAGTCATCCCACGAGTGACAAAAGAAATCTAACACCACTCCAAAACGTTTTGCATCTTGCATATGGAAAAAAAACAACTTTTAACAATATGAAGAGACATTTTTCTTTAAACATTTGTACTATTTTTCATATACTTTCAGCTGCAAAGTTTTAATTACAAGGCCTTAATTAGAACTAGCCATGATTTAATTAGGGCCAACTTCACAGGGCTCAGAAGAACTCATAAATACTCCTGAAATGTCCTAAAACAGCTCTTCTATACTTAAAATGCTATGAATTCAAGGTGGATATCACAAGCATTCACCGGGCTAAAAGTGAAAATCTCATCTTAGGGAAAACCTTGGAATTTCCCTCTTCCTATAGCATAAAGTTCTGATTTTGGAAAGCTGAAAATACAGGATTATAGATGTTTGATATTCCTATGTATGAGAAAGCTGGCAGACAACCAGTACTGAATCATGAACAAAATGAGGAACAGGAATGTAAACTACTGCATGAAAATTTCATGTTTAATTTAGTGCATTCATTTCCCTGATATGTGCATTTAAAGATGTTTGAAGCTGCTCAGAGATGTGAGGGGGCTGGAGTCTCAGAACAAGTCCCAGGAATTTAGATCAAAGATAAAGGGCACTTGCACATATTCAGGGAAGCTGCTTCAACACACTGGATTTACAGTGTAAATCCAGCATGTCAGAGAAGACTCCATTAATCGCGTCTGCTAGAGAAAAGAAATTAAGGTGCTCCAGTAGCCTCATGTGTATTAGTATCTCCGTGCTGAAATATGGCAGTGGGGTGCTTTGAATTAAAGCTCATTGTACAAAATGTAGTTCAAAGCACCCCACCACCATTTGTTCAGCATGGGGACACTGATACATGTGATACTCTGGTGCTTTTAATTAGCACCTCTCACTAATTAAAGCACCCTCACCACCACCGCCACCACCACCACCACCACATTAAGTCAGATGTCAAAAGTGAATGCTGAGTTTTGCATATAGCTCTAGTGTTTATCAAATGAAACATCATTCCTCACTTTATCCCAGCATGGTTACTACCATCATGTCCTGCATTCATCATGCTGGATATGTGTAAATGAGTGAGAATTTTTATAGGACACAGTCAAAAAGGAATACTATGTTTACAGCTTTACTGTGTGTTTGCATGCTCATGTGTATTATACAGATTATGTGACTGGACTACTTACTTTAAGATCAGTAGGAAAACTCACACTCATACAACTGAGGCAATGAGATAAAATACCAAGTCTTATCTATTTGATCTTTAAAATATTCCATTAATTTGTCCCTCATACTATTCCACTGACAGTAAGGCCAGGATGATTTTTTCCCCATTTATTTTAAGCCTAGAAGACTGAATTTCTTGTTAATATCCAAAATCTCATTCACATTTGTATTATTAGGACCAAATCCTGACCTGAGTGCAACTTCAGTATGCCAGAACTGCCTTGCAAACTCCTCCAGCACAAAGGCTGAAGTGATCTCTGTGGACACCCTACACGCAATGGAAGAAATATGGGGAAATGTGCATGGTAATAGATCCCCCAGCTCCATCCTTTAGTATAGCATTACCAGCAGGTTGCCTTTGAAAGAACTCTCCCAGATACTTATACCGCCAACATCAAACCCTTCTTATCTTGTTGTCAGTGGATTTTCTTAGGCCACGGGAGCAGGGCAGTATTCACCCTTGCAGCTGTAATTTTGTGTCAGCAGAATCTGCCATACATAGTTATTTTTACACACACATGCATATGCACACGTGTACACATATGTATTTATGTTTCTGCTGACATATCTGGTGCCACTTACTGGACTTAAAAATGCATTATCTTACATTTCAAAAGCACCTTGCCCGCAAAATGGAATAGCTTTTCATTTCATTTCACTTCGTATAAATCTTTACATTTATGGGAAATAATTGTATATGAAAAAATGCTTGGAGACTGGAATTTGCTGAGCAGGATGTAGTTCAGGCTGAATAAGGGTAGTAAAATCCTTCTTTTGCTTGGTTTAGTGTTCTATACTGATGGTCACAAACAGTGAACAGAACATGACTCATAATGGGTGGAATATTAATCAATTAGCATTTTAACTTTCTGGCATCAAATTAATATTTATAACAATTCTTCCAAAAAAGAAGAACTGCAGTTGCCTAGATAATCTGGCAAGAATCTTTTTCATCTAATAAAAAATGTGCAATAATAGGAAATGCCACTTCAAAGGTTAAAATATATAAAGGCGAAGAATGCTGTGGAAAGAATAGTAATCCCAGTGTTCTGTTCTGCAAACACTTATTCCAGGTGTCCCAGTAAAGCCAATGTACCCAAACCAATGGGCTTGTAATTTTGGTGCCTGTGTATTCTAATTTGAGGTATCTTTAAGGGGGCTGATTTGAAGAGGGCAGTGCTCCACACTTTTTGCAAATCATCCCCTTTTGCCCACCTAAATCTGAAGCACCTCAGATCACCAGCTACTTTTGAGAAGCCTGACTTAATTCTACCCGATATAAAAATAATGAGCTGGATGTAAATCACTGCTCCTCCGTCGTGTTCTCCCATGCCAAATGACACCAGCTTCTTCAATAACCTCCTTTATTAAATCGTAGCATTTAGAGATGGAGCGTTCCCACTTTCCATGTTCAGAGTAACTATTAAAATAACTAAATAACTATCCCATCTGACTGTGGACTCGGTCCTGCACTACTGAAACCAGGGGAAACTTTCCTCTTGATTTCAGTGCGTGAGAGATCAGGCCAGCGCTCATTGCACCAGTGATGACAACCCTCCTGGACGCTGTGTCGGCAGCATCTGGCTTCTCTGCCTCTCGAAGGCGAAATCAGGAGACTTCGGAAAAGCTGCCCCCGCTTCACTCTGCCTTTGATGCTCCATCGCCTCCATGTTTGCATCGCAATCAGGGAGGAGCGGGGGCGGAGGTGAACGGCTCCCATCTCCCGGTGGGATGTGATGAACTCCCAGAGCCCAGTCCCACAGCCTCTTCTTTGGGGTGGGGGAATCTCTGCCCGGCGGCCATAAGGTCCCATCGATCCACTTTGCCAGGACGATTTGGCTTCCCATGTTTGTATGCACATCCCCCCCCCCCCCCCCCCAC